CGTCTTCGCCATGCCCGGTGTTCTCACCGCCGCGCCCATCGTACTCGCCGTCCTGCGTGCCGTCCTCGCCGCCGACACCGCCAACACCGCCCTCGCCGCGGTCACCGCCGTCACCGCCCTCCTGGACGCTGCCGCGTTCCGCGCCTTCGTTGGACAGACACCCGTGGCAGCAGCAGCAGCAGCAGCGGCAGCAGCAACAGCAGCAGCATTGGCCGGGGCACGGCACCGCCGGACTGCCGTGTGCCCTCTCTGCCGACCGCATGGGTTCAGGGTGGAGCGCCGCCAGCCGTGGTCAAGAGGCGGCGGCATGGCCCGGTCAGTCGCACCGGCAGCGTTCTTTTTCCGGCCGCAGTCAACGACCTCGTGAGCAGCAGGTCAACCTGGCGGATTCCGCGGCGTGGCTGTTCATCGTCGGCCCCGTGCTGGGAGAGGGAACGGGGGTACTAGGTGGTGGTGCTGTTGCCGCGGCAGTCTTGGACGCGCCCGTCCCGGTCTCCGCTTCCGTCGACAATACGGCCGGCGGCCGCGGCGGCCGCGGCGGCCGCGGCGGCGGCGCTAAAGATGCCCCTGCCTCGAGAACGACGAATGGCTTCGTCTCGTGGTTCCGGTCTCCCCGATCGCCGAGCCCGGGGACAGGGCGGATGTGCCGGGCGATGAGGGCGGTGTCGGCGACCTTGTCGTCGTTGGTGTGTCCGTGCTTCGAGAGGATGTATGACTACGACAACGACGACGATGGCCAGAGCGATACTTGCAGAGAAAGGGAGTAGGGCCGCGGCAAAGAAGGAATGCGATTGATTGCTGATGATGTGCTCGCTCGTCGGGTTGGGTTGTTTCCGCTTTATGCCGCTTCAAACTGTGGAGCTTGTTTAGCTCGGGCTTTGCGCGGTAGCGGTAGATAGCGCGTTGAAAGGCGGTCGTTAAACAGCGGTCGCCTCTTTGTCCGGAGGAGCGAAAGTTGATTCAGTTCTCTTTCCAAATCCTCTGGTGCGTTCGCTGTATTCCACTTTATTTATCCTAAGCGTACGAGGATGCAGCATTGTTGCTGACTGCTTGTTGCTTTGAAGTATTTTATTTTATTTTACGAGTATATTACCTTTTTCTCAATACAAAATCTTACCAGACCAGTACAACTTAATTTTCAAAGTATTTTTACCTTTTCTCTATAAGAAATCTTACCAGACCAGTAGAATTTAATTTTGGAAGGCGGGGTATGGAGTTTTTCCTTTCCAACCTTGCGATATATGTATGTTTGTTTGTCTTCGTGTTTTTCACTTGTTATTTGTCCAGTTCCGCTCCATGTTCGGGGGACCCTGTAGCGGGGGTTCCTCGTGACTGCACTACAACTGCTGTTGGTGCGGATCGCTCATCGGTGCGCGTCAGTTTGGGGTGTGACTGACTGCAGTGAGAGGGAGCTAATATTGATAATAGACTACACTATTATTTAAGAGTAGCCTACCCCCCGAGAACGGGATGCAATACAT